CAAGTCGTATCGTTTTAAAGATTTTTCTTTCTTTGTAGACTTTGAAAGAGGAGATTAGTTTGTGCTTGGCCAAAACAGATTAAATTTGTAAAGAGCTTTACATTTTAAAACAGCCTAGTGTGCTTGTGAGTTCTTTTTTCCTTTTATAATGATCTTGATTCTTGAAATGCTTTGCTAAAATGTAGTGCTATATATGCTTGTCCTCAGCATTGTCGTTCCCTTTTGTCAAAGTAGGCATTCGTTCACTTTCATGAAGTAGGCATATGAACCACTTTGCCTCGAGACTCTACAAGTAGGCAAAGTAGGTAGTCGTTCCCTTTCATGAAGTAGACGTATGAATCACTTTGCCTCGAGACTGGGCGTATGAACCACTTTGCCTTGAGACTCTACAAGTAGGTAAAATAGGCATTCGTTCCCTTTCATGAAGTAGGCGTATGAACCACTTTGCCTCGAGACTCCACAAGTAGGCATTGACTCCCTTTCATGAAGTAAGCTTATGAGTCACTTTGCCTCGACACTCTACAAGTAGGTAAAGTAGGCATTTATTCCCTTTCATGAAGTAGGCATATGAACCATTTTGCCTTGCGACTCTACAAATAGGTAAAGTAGGCATTTGTTCCCTTTCGTGAAGTAGGCATATGAACCACTTTGCCTTGCGACTCTACAAGTAGTTTCATGAGATAGGTAAAGTAGACATTCATTCCCTTTCGTGAAGTAGATAAAGTAGGCATATAAACCACTTTGCCTTGAGACTCTATTGGAACAAGCAAAGAAGTGATGGAATGGAGAAAGTCATCAAGTAGGTAAAGTAGGCAACAAACCACTTTGCCTTGAGACTCATTTGGAACAAAGCAAAGAAGGCGGTGGAAAATAGAAAGCATTTTCTATTTAGAAAATGCTACGTCTAAATCTTGAATCCCCTTAACGTAAGATAGTAGCTGCCACTTTCACCTTGGGCTAGTTAACACACAGAGAATGGCCCTTGCCATTTCAGTTTGGCAATAACTCCACACAATAACTAGTTATAGGAAAATGGAGTTATACCAAGTCGTCGGTCACAAAATGCAGAGCCTTAGACTGAAAGGTTTCACTGACAAAATGTTATATTAGCACAGACAATAGTACTAGATTTTAAAAATTATCTCATAGTAGTATATACATCTGGGAAATTTTAAGATAAGTCTTCACAACTTAGAAGATGAAGGACTACTGGTTCGAAATGAGAAATAAAAAGCAAATCCAGGCACATAGTTTGATTAAAGATATGTTCCGACTAGGAAACAAAAGTATCAAGTTTTCTAACACATGAACTTCCACACAACCGTGCAATACGAGTCAAACCCACTGAATCTTCCTTGCGTTGATATAATTCATCGCATGTTATCTCTGCGCCTGTTGTATCTATTGGGTCTTATTCTGTCGTTACGCTGAGGGACAGGCTCTACTCTCCTCTGTCGTTCAGGTGATCTTTGAATTATCTCCCCGTTGACAAAAAGTTCAGCTGCAAGGATAATATAAGATCATTGTCATGGCAAAATCATACACATCGGTCATCGAAGTTATTGGAATAAGAGCTAATAAAGGGTTAATACTAGTATTTACCAACATGAATCTAAACCCTTGAGCCAAATGAACAATAATAATGCAACAAGACAAAATCAGGAGGGCCATGTCACAGACGTTACAGTTTCTCCTATGAACCAATTTGACTTGCTTAATTTTTTCTTCTGGGGGAGGGGGTATTTGCTATTTTCCAGTAAGACGATCTCTGTACTTTTCGCAATTAGAAGAGGAGATCTTGAAGAAACCATTTAACTCACGAACTGAGAGTGAACTTAAAATACAATACAATGACAACAACTTCGCCTCAACCCTACGCAGCCTAATTTTCAGATAGAAATGCCTGATCAAACTCATTATGTTACAAGCTCATTAAAGTAAGAAAAACCACACCCTTAAACGCAGCCAATACAGGGAAGCCTCCTAAAATTTAGAAGCTTCAAAATCAGAACACTTCTAGGTAATATCAGTCCATTAGTAGGAAACAAAGAACCTCTTCTGAAAAGTTCAAGAGAAACAGTCACAAGGTAACACGCATGAATTGTACCGGTTTAAAGTAAAATTTGATATTTTTTTGGCTTAGCATGGCAAGCTAATTAGGGGCAAGATGTGAATGGGTTAAAGATAAGGACGTAAGGCATCTTGGCAATAATTAATATCCCTCTTATGAAATGGGTGGCTATATACCCTCCTAGACACCCGATAAATCCATCCTTCTAAAGGCATGTTCTACAAACTACTAAGTGGATGAGTATGCTAAGGCAGATGCGTCAGCATTGTGAATTCATATATTTTTAAAAAACTTGCATGATAGTGCACTTACTGCTGCAGATGATTGGAACTTCATGCTCAAATATACCAATCCTTTACCCATAGATAATATATCCTCTCCTAATTCACTAGACCTATTCCTGCTTTGAGCTATCACCAAAAAATTGACAACTTCCTACGGAAAAAACAGTTGTATCATCCAAGTACTTAAATCTTCAAAATATGTCATTTCTTTATTTTGACTTAGTAAACATCTTTAAAAATTTCTCTCCACTACCAATTATTCTAACTATATCTCCAAGCAACTCGTAGAGCCTACCAATCAAAAGGTTGTTCTTCTAGTCTTTCTACACATAATACTCCCTCCAAGATCTTCTTTGGCCTTGCTAACATACCTTCATTATGTAAAAGAAACCACAGATACTACGTCTATATTCTTCAAAGAACCCAACATTGATCTATGTTTTGTTGCCTCTGAATGATGTTCATATTGGTGAGACAAACCATAGAGTTAACAATTCTAATTAAGGGTTGGATTATTTTTTGGACAGAATTATGAAAAATGATAAAGGCGATTTAAAGAAACTTTAAGCAAGAGTAGACTTCTTTCATACATTATTTGATTCTAGTTATTGGGTCATACTCTTAATACCTTACGGAACATGAATCTACTGCCAAACAAAGAGCAAACAATTGTTAAAAGAATGTGTACCTCCTTATGGAACATGAATCTACTGCCAAACAAAGAGCAAACAATTGTTAAAAGAATGTGTACCTCCATAATCCTTGTATTCAGGATCAACATAGGAATCAGGCAGCACAAACAGAACACCTGGCAAACCTATTGCAGCAAACATTCCAAGTCAATTCGTTAATTCACTGATGGCTATTGCAAGAAAAATAATGATAGTAAAGCATTTTCAACAGACCTTCCATTTTATTAGCAGTCTCTTCATCAACTTCACATCCGAAACCAAAGTACCTCTCACAAGAGACATTGTAAATCTTCTTTTTTGCTTCCTCTTCACTACACATGCAAAAGAGACTACATGAATAAGTATAACTGCTACTACTACTATTCCGCATTTATCCTAAACTAGTCAGGGTAGGTTATATAAATCCTCAATAACTCATGCATCACATAAACAGAATAACACATATGAGTCCATCTAGACACACTTTATACTCTCCCCCTACAAGAAAACCAACACTAACAATATCTAAAAGTCAATCAACTCTTTTAACATACTCAACTAAAAAACATAATGGTTATGTACATGACCATGATGGAGTATAAGCTGTCAAATTACTTTTTTAACTAAAAAGATAAAGTTTTTATCACCTCCCGAGGACTTTAGCAAGGGTTTGGACATAACAATCAATCATTTGCTGTTTATGAGCTCCTTCTCCACCAGGCTTATCCATAACAATGAGCCAGTGCTCGTAATCGCATCCCGGAAACAGTGGTGCCATCTCAGTCGGAGCTCGGTCCCCGGTTCCTGGAGTGTAAGGAGAGCTACCGGACCGGTTAACTCTGAACCGTACCGTATTGAGGCTAAACGGCTTGAGGCCATTAGGGTTGGTAGGTAGAAGGGAGTGTGAGAGCAGAAATGACGGCTGAGGTGAAGATCCGACGGCAGGAAGTGACGGCGGTTGAGTAATCGACGGCGATGAAGCGGAGGAGATGAAACGAGTAGAAAAACGATAAGTGTAGAGGGTTCTAGAAATGGATTTGGTGATTTTGGAGGCCATTGATGAAGTTTTTGAGAGTTTTGAGGGTTTTGAGGGTTTATGGGTATATATTGGGGGTAAGGGGTATTGCTCTAGTCTATAGTGAATACTCTCTATTACTTTTTTTTGAGTCGATTTATCCGTATCTCGATTATTTTATCACAATAATAATAACGTAACGTAGTATAACGTGAATACGATAAAATATATGTAGACGTGTTATTCTTACTTCTAAAGTAGAAAAATAGAATATTCTTGATCGACATGCTTATCGAATAAATTTAAAAAAATTGTTAGTGATGTATTCGTCTCATAACTCTCTATTCACTTTGTTAATATTTAGATCATATATTTTCTTAACATTTAAATAAACACGATATCAAAAATTATTTCACATGCTTTTCATTTACTTTCTCGTCGTAACCACTTCATTGTCCCTAAGCGTTTCTCGTACCTATATTGAAATGGAATAGTTTCATCTTCTCTTATCGATTGGTTACTCCTCTCTGTTCGTATCTCTTTCGATTTGAATTAGTTTACAAGATTAAATAATCAAATCCTCTTCGACTACAACTCATAATAATATTTTCCACTCCATGAATAGCTTAATTACTTTACACACTTTCCATCCAACATGTCTTAAAAAGTCTTTTGTTGCCTATTACCAAGAGAACATTGTGTAATGTTCAATCCTATGGACTCATAAATTGCTATACATTCTCTTAGTTTCAGATCTCGCAAAGAGAAAACGTGTTTTTTCCCCTGACCTTCTTTCTCATTCGCGGAGAGACTACGTACAATGCACCTAAATACAAGACAAATATACTTCACTAAAAGGCACATACTACTCGAATTTCAATTCATACTGTGTCGATCTACAGTTCCATCACTGAAATACTTCATGCCATACAAGGGCCAACGAGAACGAGTAACAGTAATTTAGTGTAAACACCAGATGCGGATAAATTATTTTTTGTGTGATTATTTGCACTCCAAAGTTTGATCTACAACAATGATGTAAAAGTGGAATACACTCAACTAATGCCATGATTTAGGCCTAGGTAAAAAAATGTGTCACTCAGAGTCTCAATTTAGAGCATATTTTCCTATATTATTCATCCCTTCAGATCCTGTGCAGAAGTTCAAATTAAACATCATGAAATAGTCTTCTGATATGATCCACAGTTGCAGGCATCAACGTCACAGGGCATCGCTTATACTGCATAGAAAGAAAATAGAGCGTGAATTGACGGTGTAAGAGAATCACCGAATATATTCATAAAGAGTTTAACCTCGACGTATTGACAGTGTAAAATAATCAGATAACCATCCATAATAAGTGGAATTAGAGACCTATATATAAGGCACATAACCTGCTACAACGAGTTGAAGTACATTGATAGCGTAAAAACTACTTCATGCTAGTATATATAAGTTGAATTCGTTTAAGAAAAGAGAAGGAATCAAGAATAAGTCTAGACAGATCAGTTCCGCGATTCTACTTAAGCTAGCAAAAAGGAAAAAGTAGTATATAGTCATAGGAATAGCTCCTTGACAATGATAAAATCTAAATACATACCAGAAAATTAAATTATTGTACTTGCAGGTATTTTCCATTTGCAATTAGCGGGGGGGGGGGAATTATTGCAATATTAACTATAAAGAAACCAAATTAACACAGACATTATGATTTAGTTTCCCAGACGAATTCAATCAACTGATTCTGAAATTTCACCTGAGAGACATATCGGAAAACGCAGGAATAGCAGAAGACTAATCCTGAAACTGCCACCACTGAGGGATTTGCACGCTTTTGTGAGCACAAAGGACACAGTGTTCTGTCTGTAGGTAGTGGAATTCCATCTTTCGCAACCTGCTTAAATGAAAAACATTACACATAAGCATTTATGCAGGAATACAAGAAATAAACTACTTCATCCATGCATAACGAAACTAGTTTTAAGACCAAGACGGAAAGAACTTTCTCGAGATCCACATTTCACCAAGACAGGAAATAGTTTGTAAAAGTTGTTACTTTCCAAAGGAGGCTAACACTAATTTGCTAGTTGAGGATTTAGACAAATTATGATTTGTCACCATCTTGCCGGCTTCCAATTGGTAATTGGCTCAGATACTGGTATTAATTTATACAAACTGTATTAACAATGCCAAAGCAAGAGAGTTTTTATACAAGATAGAGACTTTATTGGCCAAGTCCAATCATTTATATAGGCACGGTAATGCTCTCCCATACAGAATGCACAATATCAATTAACACATAACTCATGTTCATATTAGATCCTTGACTACAGCTCCTGTTAACTGCTTAAATGGATTGGCGTAAATGACAAGTTGGAGATGAGTGACCACAAATTAAAGTTCCAGAATATGGTTGAATGGAGAAAGGCAAAAAACATGTATTAGATGACACTTTTCAGAGCTAAAGTCTAAACATCTATTTGTAACCAAGTACCAAATGTATTTTCTCACCCAATAAGAACCATGAACAAATATAAGTGGGACGTATTCAAAACAGTAAATTGCAAGACTAGTCCTCTCCATCCCAAATGGAAATGTACTCACCTTTGGAGGTGGAGGAGGGGGTGGGGGTGGATAAACAGTTGGAGCTGACATCCTTTCTTCTGCTGACTGGTACCACCACTCCATCATCTGAGTACATTGAAGACAGAAACGGAAATATAATCATAGTATCGATACATGAGCACAACAAAACTGGAGAAGAAAAATGATCTCTCTAGGGAACAATTTAGAAAAGCAGCAGGAATTGAGCTAAACAACACTTACTTTAAAGAAAAACACTGCCGCTATTAGGCCAGTTTGAGCATAGTCAAGAACTCCATATGCACAACTTAGTAAAGCACTTTGTACTGCCTGAGATGTTAATGGATTCAAAGAACAAAAATCAGAATATTGGCTAGAGAGACAGTGCACCTCCATTTTTTTTTTTGGGACAAGTACCGGGGACCTCAACTAAGAAGTAAAATCAATACCAAATCACATAGTCCCAACTAACATTACAATGCTGCTCCAAATATCCCCCCTCCACCAAAAAAAAAAAAGAAGGAAGAGGATAAGAATAGAAATACAGAAAAGAGATTTACAGGATGAACACAGACCTTTAGCCAAGGAGGGCCACGAAGTCTCTCTCGTTCACGGCTTCTTATTTTAGAAATCCTAGAAGAAGTATCCATCTATCTTGACATCACATATAGGAAAATCATAAATAACAAAAATTTATAAAAGAGGAATTACCCAATAAATAAGTTGAACTGGTTAAGAGAGATAGATACAGATCTAAATTGAAACTTTCAAATAAAGACTTAAATTGAAACTTATACCCAGTGATTCAAGGTAATATGAAGGGTGTGCCTTAAAGCACTGCTTCCTCAAGAGTACTTTTTTCTTTTATAAGGTAAGCATGAGAATCATAATCATACCAGAAAAGAACTGAAGTTCTCAACTGACTTATCTACAATGTTGAAGTTTCTGAAAGGAACTTTCACGCATCAGAAAATTACATTATCCAATCGATTATTCAGATACAGAGATTTAACATCATTTGTAACACATTTAGATGGTGAGACACAGTAAAATTAGGCACCAACATATCGAGTCAACTAACATTGTACCACTAGTTCATTAATTTTTCAGAATTTCATGCTAGGGTACCTAAAAGTTCTTGCAATTTATTCTGATTCACTGGTACCTTACGTGTATTTTTTAATAGTCCAGGCATTACAATTTCTCCAAAGGCTTTGTACTTCTGATACCAACTAATAACACCTCTCAGACCTAGACAGATACTAACATGAATCTGTCTGCAAACATACCAGCTCCTGTCCTGTAGCCCGACAGACATGAATGCCAAGGGCATGGAGTCCTAGAGAGTAAAATCCAGTAGCATCCAGCAAATACAGTAGCTGGTAAGCAAATGATAAACCTGCAGGAAAAAAACACAAGAAGGTGAACAATGACATCAAGACCTGCTTAAAATCTTCACTAAAGAGGACAGCGTTGCAAATAATGTTTACTTATTTTGATGAGAAATTACTTTATACAGGACTAAGAACTCAAACACATAAAGGGGAGACAACATTTTCAGATGAAATTGCTCAAGATTCACCATGAAGGTTTGGGTCGTCCTGACATTTGAGTTTTGACAGGTGGTAAGGCCATTTAGAGGTGGCATGAGAGATTAATGCATGACTAGAATGAACAGGATTACCTAATTCATCTCGTTTCAAATAGTGAAACAGAATCAGTACACACAAAAACCAGGAGCATAGTCATAATCACAAGTCAGAAACTACTCTATATATACCTTCATTTCCAGCATGTATCCATGGGTAGCAAACAGCTACGATCTTACGGATTTTCTTTCTCAAACGATCTCTAACTGATTCTTCTGTATCTGAACTGCTTGTTGAAACTATGGAGTTTCCATTTCCATCAAAATAGTCAGTGTCACCAAATCTCTCATCCTCAGTGCCCCATAAACTAGCTTGAAGAGCAGCCTCTCTTTCTTTATTGTAGATTGAATGCAATTTTGATCTGAGATATGGCAATATGACCTAAAGAAGCACATCAACATTATGTCATTGCATTTAGCAAAAGCAGTACACTTTTCAGCAAAACTTGATTCAAGCAATCATTTTTGAAGTCGCAGCTTTACACATACTAGATGCTATATAGCCTTAGTCATGGAAACAATTAGAAGATCAGAAAGGAAGCCAGATGACTTCCAATTCCCACTAACAATTCCAGGTATTTTATTCCAGTAGATGGGAGTAAAGTAAGCTTCTGCAACAGATGGAAAAGGGACAGTCTTCTATTCAACCAAGGTAACAAGTAACAACTGTATTTTATCAGACAAATCAAACCTGTCAAATCCTCTATGCAACATCTAGAAACATCTTCAACGTTCTACTGAAAAACTTACAGAAATGTACAGGGAGTAGGGAAAATTCATTCTAGGATTTCAATCTTAGAAGGTTTACAAGGCTGGGAGGTGTGGAAAAATCTAAGTAAACAGGTCCAACATATTGACAATATGAGTGTTACCATATGATAAATGTTCTGTCAATACAAGATTAGATAAGATTAAAAATGACAACATTTAGCAGAAGGTCCAAGTAGCACACATCAAAGATAAAATGAGATAAGGTCACTTGATATGGTTTGCTCATGACCGGACGTCAACCTCCGGAAGTGCAAGTCCGTAGGTGTGGAATCATAGTAAATGAAGATGATAAAAGGGAAGAGGTGGCCTAAAATCACAGGGGAAGAAGTTGTTTCTAAAAATCTTCAAACCTTTGGAAGCCAAGCAGACCCATCGAAAGATAGGAAAAAGTGGAGGGAAAAATCTATTTAGGTAATAAAAACTAGTTAAGAATATGTTATAGTCATCCGGTATATTTACTTTTGGATCCTATGTTTCCCAAGAATATTTCGGTCCTGTCAGATATTTATATGCCAATAGAAAGTATAACAGTTTAATCCCCTGAGGATCAATAAGTGAGTGTTCAAGTGTAAGAGATTACCAGAAACACAACTGAAAGAACTTTTTGGCGCTTCTCCAACCCAGTGTGATTAATTTCTTCTCTGGCGTCTAGACCTTTGTTATCACCCTTAACTTTTATGTTAACTGCCCTTCTTCGCAGACCATATAAAGACTCAGCAAAAGACCCATCTGAGAAAAAGTAAAAAAGGAATGAATTTGCTAAAACTATAGCAAATAATTAGCTCAGCCTTTAACCAGAATAGTACCAGAGGCTACACACATGAATGGATGAAAAAGAAAATACTAGTCTAGACCCAATAACAGATACTCAGCATTACTCTTTGGAAGAGTCAAAAACTGCAGTCATTTTATGCATTTCAAAAATAAGTTCAAACATGAAAAATGTGACTTCAGTATTTTTATACCGTGTGTACATTACTAATTATTATGTTAGAAAAAGAAATATTCAGAACAACATCTGAGTACTGCCTAAACTTAGATCATTTGAGTCGCATACAGCGACCAGTCATCCTTTATGGTATGAAGGAGTATTTGGAAAGATAAATAAGCACCTGTAGTTCGTAAGCTATGAGTTTCAAGAACTAGCGTAAGCAAAGCAAAGCACTCATCCTCATAATCTAGAATTTTGTGGATGAAAGGTCTTCTTAAAGCTAAAACCTGCAAGCAAACAAGCAGCAATTAACACTAGCCATCACACATCACATAACTACAGTTAAACCATAACAACAGCAACAAACTACAATGATGCCTCGTTTCCAAACTAATTGGAGTCCACAATATAAATGCTCTATATACATTGTGTGTTGTTTCATTCCAATACTAGTAATTTTTCTCTTAAGATATATATATTAAGTACAAGTCTAAAACAATTATAACATCTATCCTTTGTTTTCAAACTAGTTGAGTTACCCTAGATCCTCAATATTAGTTACCCTCCATTTTGACCCACTTCATTTCAATGTTAATAATTGTATTTTATGACACATCTAATAAGCACTGATACACAACAACAATAAAATCCACCCCTCAATTCCAACTAGTTGAATTCAATTATATTAATCATCAATATTTCATTACACTCCTCTTGGACCTTTTTCTTCCAAGTACTAATAATTTATGTTTATACTAATTTGAGCTCAGGAACAACCTCCCTACACCACAAAGCTAGGGGTATGGTCTGCTTACATCCTACCTTATCTGACCCCACTTGTGGGATTACAGTGGATATGTTGTTTATATAAATCTGTCTTTTAAGACACTTGTAATAAGTACAACTAAACAATAATCAAATCCACCCCACGATTCCGAACTAGTCCACTATACAAATTCTCGATACCCTTTATATTCCACTTGGATCCATTTCATTCTAATACGAATATATCATCTTTTAAGACAAATCTACTAAATAAAGCTGCACAGCAACGATCGTAATAACTATGCCTCGATCTCAAACTAAATGAATTACGCTAAATCCTCAATATTAATCACGATTCATTCATTGCAATACTAATAATTGTATTGTAAGAAACAACCACCCCTCAATCCTAAACTAGTTGAATTCCACTATACAAATCCTCAATACCCATTACACCCCCCTTGGACCATAGTCTCTCCCTATCTAGCACACACCTCAACTAACGCTAGACGGTATCAAACCACAGGACAGAGAAAAAAGGAGCAGCTTTTTAGATTCTCCCATTGTAGGATCAAAATTAATAATCAAAAACAAAATTAAAGTGACCCCTGATTCTCCATAGTATTCCACATGATACTTGTCACCACATAACTCTGTCAACCAAGGCTAGAACAAATGCGAAAAAATCACCTAGTGTTGTCTTTCTTATCATAAATACAAAATGGGAATTATAGTATCTCAGTTAATTTGCTCGGTAAGGGTTCGATTCACCACAATACAATCCACTCCCCCAATTTATTTATTTTTTAACAAAATACTGAAACAGTGGACAAAATTGATATGAAATTCGAAAACCCATTTGGGTAAATGAGTAAAGAGAGCAACTTACACCAAGGGAATAAGTTAAAGCAGCTCTAAGACTAGAAGGCAACTGTTGTGCAGCAGCCATTTCAAAGAAAGTAGGACGAGTCCCTTGTCCTCCTACTTGAAACAACATCTCTTCTGTACAACAACAAAAAACGCTTATCCTCTCAACTGATTATCTGCTTCTGCTTCTCCGATTGTCTTCTTCTTTTGCTTCTCAGTGATGAAATTGAGATGTTTTGGGAAGAAGGAAGATGATAAAGAACAGTTTTTTCTTCTGCTGCTTCTTTTTTTTTGGTTCCTTCTTTTTCTGTTCTTTATTTTATTTTAGGGACACTACTTCTTATGTTGTTGCATACTACTACATTTATTTTTTGGGTAGTCCTTAATTAACTAGAACTATCGGAAATAATATGTACAAACCCTTCGTCATATTTTTGAAACATTATTATTTCTGTCGTTAAAAAATTAGAATACATATGTCATTCACTCTAACAAAAGACTAAATAGGGACATGTGGCACAATCTTATCCATTGATAAATGTCGAATTTGTGGACAAGATTATGACACGTGTATATTCATTAGTATAAAGGGTATATATGCTTTAATTTTTGGACGATAAATTCCAAAAGTATGACGGAGAAAATTTACGTACCATTTACGATAGTTCAGGGTATATATATCTTTTTTCTCCTTTTTTATTATAAACGAAACAATCACATATGACGGGGGAAAAACTATTATGAATAATTGAGAAATGAGTTAAAATTTGTTTTTGATAAAAATAAGAGATGATATTTTTATTGATAATACCCAATAGGTTGTGGAGAAAAATGCGGAGAACTTGTTTTCGATTAGTTAATTGGAGAGACAGTAATTTATGAAGAGGATGAAAAGTATTTGGTCTGAAAGAATGAGTAATCGCATTGGATTCAGATGTGATGATTTTTCTATAATGGGAGAGAGTAGTTTGGATAAAAATGTTCAAATGACTATTCCATATTTAGACATATATGTGAACATTAAAAAAAAATATATATGTGTATGATATAACGACATATTTCAAAATATGCGATTCGATTTGATAGTCATCCACATAAAAAAAATGTTTAACGATCGCTAACAATTCATTTTAATGTAGCATTTGGGCCCATATTTGTTAAACAATCATAGTACGATTACTCATTTAAAATGTAGTAAATGAATCTTACCTCCCAGTTTCATACTATAGTCGAGAGGGATTGGATTACATACCTAGGAAAGAGAGAATATAAACCTTTACAAAATTTTAATTTTTATACATTTCAAACATCGATCTTTATGCTATAGATTGTATTATGTATACTTCTTGACAAAAAAAATATTCATGACAATAATTACAGCTATAAAGAACGATAGCTTTAAAATTGGAAAATAATTTATTAGAGATCTTTTCCTTATTTAGAATATAAACCTAGTGAATTCGATCGTTCGAACATGAAAAACTTGGTTATATATATTTTACGAGTTTATAAATACATCTAATTCTTTTTGGGACTAAAGTGAAAAATAATATACATTTGGTACTAAAGAAACATAAATTAAAACTTTATGGTACTAATGTGATGAATTTTTGCCAAAGCTCACTTCAGTTGTGATGAATTTTTGTCTGAATACACAATTGAGCTTCACTTATAAGTTCGCCGTGGTTTCTGCTTCCACCGGCGCCGGAAAATCCATAGCTATGGCCAACTCCGTCAGAATCGCCGCCGCTCAGATGACCTCCGTCAATAACCTCGCCGTCAATTTCGGTACTTGCTCTCGCCTCGTTAAGGTACCTCCGATGTCCATATTTTACATTGTAATTTTGATATACAAATGTTGCATATTCATTAGTTTACATTGATAGTTAGCTTAAAATTACATAAATTTTGGATTATTTACAGTAATTATGAATCCATTATGAAATTTGCAAAACGGTTCGTGAAGCTGGATTTGAGGAGCTGAAAATTTTAGCTAATTTTCAGATTGATTTATATTCATACTCAGGGAAGGTTTAGTTTTGATGTTGATCAAGTTTGTTAGAAGTAGCTAATAGAGGAAAATGATATGGGGATGTTGGTGAACATGGTTGACTTGCTGTCTTACTTCATTCTCATAAGGCTAGTGATATTCTAGAGCAATTATTTCATGAAGAGACGTATTCGATGTTAGGATTTGTGAAATGATTTTTGTGAAGTTGGCTCTGTAGGAGCTTAATTTGGAGCTAATTTTCAGTTTGATCTATATTCGAACTAAAGGAAGGTTTTGTTTTGTTGTTGATCAAGTTTGTTAGAAGTAATTCATAGAGGAAAATGATTTGGGGATGTTGTTCAACATGGTTTACTTGCTGTTTAACTTCATTCTCATAAGTCTAGTGATATTCTAGAGAAATTATTTCATGAAGAAATTTGTTCGACTTAGGATTTGCGAAACGATTCAGTGGAGCTGCATTTGTAGGGGCTTAATTTGGTGATAATTTTTGGGATTACTTACATCTAAAGTTGCAAAAGTTCGTTAGGATTAGATTATGGAGCAAAATGATTTGGCAGTGTTGGTCAAAGATGGTGACTTTCTTTTTTGCTTGATTCTTATTAGCTAGTGATGTTGTTGGAGCAACTTTTCTCTTGCCAGAGCAACTCGCACTTCACGAATCACATGCATTAATCAATTTTACAAGTCTGCTTCAATCCCAAAGCATTTGGGTCATCTATTTGAAAAGAAAAAAACAGATTTTCTCCCTTCTTTCTTCGAATAGAAGAAATGTAGAAAAGAAAATGAAATCTGTTTTTGCCGTGGGATAGTCCAGAAAAAGGCTGGTATTTATTGTGAGTACAGGCTGGGAAAAAGGCTGTGAACATTGCCATTTTTTCAACTTATCAACTCTAGTTTCTTGAAATGTTAAATTGTTCCTTCATATGTGCATGAGTTCCCAATAATTGAAAACTTCAACAACACTGGTCATTGAGTTGGTGCAATGAAACTACCTGCAAGCCGGTAGTCTAAATTGGATTGCAGTAATTGCTATGGAAAAGTAAAATCTCTCGAGTGATCCAATACAGAATAATTCGCGTGAACAGTATCCTTATCAGCTCCTACGAATTATTGTAGTTGTGGGAATATATCTTAACGTTGCTTATGTTTTTATCTTTTATAATATTTCATATTTTTCTGTTATGAGTAAATGAAGTCAGCGACATACTTGTGCTTCTGAAATGTTCTTAATAATTAATGTAGATTGGTACTGATATTTGCACTATTTTGCTATATCATATTTTCTATCCCAGGAAGCAGCTTCAGCGGGGGCAAAATTGCTATGTTTTCCTGAAAATTTCTCTTTTGTGGGAGACCTAGAGGGAGAGAGTCTTAAAATTGCTGAGCCCCTAGATGGACCTATTATGAAAGGCTACTGCTCTCTTGCAAGGTGTGACCATGAGAGAGAAGTTGGCTTTCTCTCCATCTAATGCACATTATCCTGTTTTTAGAAGTGCTAATATGTGTTGTCCTAACAACTTGTTCTCTCTTTATTCGGCATTGTTCAATGCTTTATGACTATGTGACAACATACTGGCTTACTCTTAACAACATATTACTCCCTTTTATGTTTGACTTTTACTGTCTTTTTCTCTTTTTCTCTTCCTGATAGCTAGTCGGTGATTCCTGAACTTGAAGTGAGTGTTAGTGGATTCAGTCAAATGACATCTTTTCTGCCATTAATGGCAGGGAATCAAATATTTGGTTGTCTCTAGGAGGATTCCAAGAAAAAGGGAGTGACAATGCACACTTGCGCAACACTCATGTTCTCATTGATGATAATGGAAATATTAGGAGCACATACAGTAAGATGCATCTGTAAGACTCTTAAACTTGACTTTGTTAGACGTTAGACTAAGATTGTCATACATAAGTTTTTTAGTACTTTCATACTGTTAGTAATAAACAACATTGTGCTTCTGTTTGGTCAGTATCATTGCCATGGGTTTCTAATGTGAGGTTGTAATATTATATCAAGTGAAGCAGTATGGGTGGTAGAGAATTAATAGGTTGATTGTATAAGCTGTATGAGTTTTGGTTTGAACAGGTCAGCCAATTTATGAAATAATGCTGGACAGCTAGAGTTGGTTTAATATCCAGGCAACTCTAGAACACGTTCAAGAGCTACATGTCTTATGCCATATTCTACGAGCATTGAATAATCTATTACTCTATTAAAATACCAGATATCATGGTCATTTGGCTTTTAAGAGAAGTGAAATTCTTGCAAAATGAATGCATCACACCATCATTTCTAGATGTTGAGTTATTGAAGCATCTGTGCTGAAATCTCTGTAAAAAAAAAGAACGTTGTAACGAGATCGCATAGGTCCAACATAATCCTCCTAACAGGCAGCCAAAGATGGGCGAGGATCAATTAGTTAGCTAACGAAGTTGATGTTGAAGTAGAAAGAAGGCTAATAAATAGGAACGGAGTCGGGGAATTCTAACTCTTAACTTGCCCTGTGCTGTGTGTGCTTTCAAGCAATAAGACTGCTTGCTAAACGAACCACTGCTGACGAAGGGCCCCATACCCGCACTAAGGGGTAACCTGAGATAAGGTATGGAAGCAGTCTGTGCGAATAAAGAATACTAACACGCATAGCCTCATAGAGTCAGATAGGATATCTGAGAACTATTTTACTTTACGTTTCCTTATTGCTTTATAGATTACATTTCTTTATTGCTTTATAAAACAATGGTTTGAAATGGAATTTGTGTTTATATATGCATATTGTTATCCGCTAACCAGTAAAGACCACTTATAATGCATTTGTTATGTAAAACATTTAACAAACTATTTAGAGGACAAAAGTTTCTCGAATTTTTAGACAAGGGATGATAGACAAGTCAGATGGATATATTTTCTAAGTGTTAACAATTTTTAACAGATGTTAACTTTATGACCAAGAAAGGCTTTGCAGGCCATGATTTCTTTTTTAGTCCAATTGTGTTAGGTTTGCTTTCCAGAATTTTAATGTATGAGGCACTGAGAACAATCTGAATGCAAGATGACCCTTTGCACTTCCATCTACCTACAACGCTAATTGTGGTTTATGCTTTATTTATAGATTTGACGTGGATGTTCCTGGAGGTGCAGTTTATAAAGAGAGCAGTTTCACTGAAGCTGGTAGGAAACACAATAACTAAGCTAACATTTATTTCCCTTAGACAATATCTGGACGTAGCTTCTTGAAAGTTGTTTCCTTGTATGAGCGAAGCTTTCTGAGTAATAGTTAGTTTAGTATGTTTTAGATTGAATAGTATGCAATAAA